GCCTTTTTCTACTTATTTACTTATTGCGGTAAGCGCTTACTTATCTTATCAACCCCCCGTTCCCACCCTGGGTACTGGGTACTGGGTACTGAGTACTGAGTACTGTACGGAGTAAGGTATGTATGTATGTATGTATGTATGTATGGCTTAAGGTACCTTCTTCTCATTCATTTGACGCTGGACGACGGGCCGTTACGCGTGGGCGGGTCGATCGATCAATCACCTGTAGTCGTCGATTGATTTACCGTCGGGTGAATGAAGATTTCAGGATCTGGAGAGAGAGAGAGGGGGGGGGAGGTGTTTGGTATCGGCGAAGGGAATGTTGGGATTGGAGGTTGAAAGCTTGTTGTACTGTATTAAGGAATTTTGTTTCGTGCCGTTTTTGGAGTGAGCGGGTATGGGATGGATATAGATAGATGCGTGCATGGGTGGCTGGGTTGGGTGGCTGGGTTGGGTGAGTGGGTGGCAGTAGTTGGTGGGGCCGAGGCGGGATATTTTTGGGATGAGCGGACGGGTTTGAATTGGGGGTTGTGAGAGATAGATGTGTAGGCGGCTGGAGCAGGGGAGGAGTGCTGGGATGGGCTGGGCTGAAGGGAGGTCTATGCTGTTTGTCAACTTATTTATCGTCCTATGGTGTTTGTGTGTATATTTGGATGTATGTTTGTTTAGATGTTTGGATGTATGTTTGTATGTCACACTCATTTCCACGCACGTTATCCGCTTAAGCGAGTGCTCGGGCCTCAGTTTTCTCATCTCATAAGTATACTCATTCGTACATATCTTTCAGCTGAGCTTCATGCGTCGAATACTTATTGAAATAGCTGCTGGGTTTTACGTCTTTCTCTTCTCGTTCAAATTGGTTTGTTGCAGGTTTCTGGATGGTTGATGAAGTGGATTCCGAGTCTGGAAGCGCGCGGGGGGGTGTTTCGAGAATGGCGGCCGGGTAGATGCTGGCTGGCGGCAACGAACTCTGTAGGTTCAGCTCATCACCTACCGTACCTCAAGCATTTCCCCGGATCGGCACCGCCTACCTCGGCCTGCTCCTGTATCTTGCTCGTTTCTCCTGACGGACTTTGGGGCTAGACTTCCCTCCTTTCCACCCTCTCACTCCGATTTCGATCCTCCGTGCTTCACTTCACTTCACTGCACGGCTTGGCTTAAGTCTTCGTACAGCAGCGCCAGCCGGAAACCTGCTCCAATGCAGCAGCTCACACTCATTACATACATTTGACTTTACTTCGTTACTCTCTCGCGGGTCTTCCCACACTGCTCTGCTGTACGCAGGATTCTCCGTGAAGACCTGACCGCCTGTCTCTATAATGCTTTACACAATGCGTTCAAAGCTCTTTCTTTTCGTCTATTTGGTATGCTTCTGTATCAAATTTGCACTGGCGGACCGCCGGGCAGTTCTTCAGAGGCAGGATAGACCTACAAATCTACCACCGACAGACTTGACAGTCACCATACCCTCATCAAGCAAAGTAGCGCAGACACAAGGCGGCTCTGGGACCAACGAGGAAGGCGGCGCTGCTGCGGGGCGCTCCAGCTCAACTTTCGCGACCCGAATTCATACCACGGATTCGAGCTCTGACGCGGCTAAATCTACCCCCATCGCAGGTTCCGAGGCAATCTCGAATATCAATGGCGCGGCTGCAACATCAACCGTCAACCTATCTACGTACAATGGTAAGTAGGAGTTCTCGGCTAGGGAGGCTGACAGACTAACCGGAATCTAGCGACACTCACTCCCAACAAGCTGCCACTCACGCCTGTAGTGACCCCGGCTTACGGGATTGGTGGAGTCATCTTGGTGCTGAGCGGGCTCCCCTACACTCTGGTGGGGATCAAGAATAAGATTTTGCACATCTCGCTCTCGGCAGCGTATCTTGCGAGCTTGTCGGTGACAGTCCTCATCCTGTACGTTATGAGCCTGTCCGTCAGCGATGCCATCCAGGGAGCATATCTGGTTGCCGTTGTCATGACAGGGGTCGTCCTCGGTGGGGTATCAGTCATGTTCGCTGAGATGACCGAGGGGCTGGGCTGTCTTCTTGGGGGGTTTTGCTTCAGCATGTGGCTGCTTGTCTTGAAGCCAGGTGGACTCCTCACGGAGACCAGCAGCAAGTCGATCTTCATCGCAGTTTTCACTCTGACTGCATTCGCTGCCGTATTCAGCCACTATACACGAGATTGTGGTCTGATCCTCGGTATCTCCTTTGCCGGAGCTACGGCAGTGGTCCTGGGTATCGATTGCTTCAGCCGAGCAGGGCTGAAAGAGTTTTGGGCATACCTCTGGAACCTGAACCCCAGCCTGTTTCCCGTTGGAGCTACTTCCTACCCCATCGGCAGGGGATTGAAGGTCGAAATTGCAGCCATCATGGTTCTCTTTCTAGCCGGTGTAGTTTCGCAGATGAGGCTTTGGGAGGTGATCAGGGAGCACCGAGAACGGCGAATCTTGGACCGCCTGAACGACGAGCAAAACAAGGGCCAAGAAGAGAAAAGAGTTAGCACGGCAGCCGTGTACGCGACGGCAGGAAATGGAGATCAATGGGAAGCCGTGTACGGCAATAAAGAAGCGTCCAGGTTGACTCGACCGACAAGGTCGAATCCGGATTCCGGAGTGGGCGACATGAAGAGCAAGAAGGAAGCTAGAAGCGATGTCACTTCATTGAGACGATCCGACGATGAAATCAAAATGACCGAGGTTCCTTCGCCTACTTTCCAATCCAGCGCTGGGCTCATCACGCCAAATAAAGTAATCACGGTCCGCGTCGCGTGTGATTTTGAGCCGGCCCAAGTTATGCATGGAGATGGAACGCCTGTCAAGATGGATGACGAAAGCCGATTCTTGCTTCGGGATAAATTCGCATCAAGTCAAAAGGAAGACAAAACTCGGGTGGTGATTGCTGATAGCGAAGCCGTACTGGGAAGACGAACTTCGCAACGAGAACCGAAGCGAGTTTCAGCAGGGCCGGACGTGGTCCCTCTCCCATTCCGGGTCCCCGACAACGATGCTGCGAGCGATCGCTCTTCAGTTGCTACATTTGCAGACGACGACGAGGCTACTGCTAAGAGAAGATCCAAAAATCTCTCTGTGGGATCAATACTGATGCAAAAGCTGACGCGGGGGTCTGTGCAGTCACTCCGTAGTTCCAGAAACTCTATGGACGGCGCTGCAGTCAGTACAGATAACTTGCTCGTGTCAAGGGAGGTCGAGGATGACCGAGCAAGCTCCATTGCCGCAACCGTGGATGGGCTTAGTGACGACGAGGATATGAGAAGTAGCAGATCGTCGCTGGACAACCCACCAAATACTACGGACACAGCTCGACTCGACCAGGCATCTACCCCAGACCTCGCGGCAGCGATTGAACCGTCAAAAGGCACCGAGGAGCCGGATTCTGCAAAGAGTGGCGAGGTGACTAGGCCGATATCCACAGCCACAACAGGGACTGAGACTCTGGATCCGTCAAAGGAGAAAGAAGACATCGTTGCGCCTGCCACTCCGCGGTCGTTAACTTCAAGTACTGATCCAAAACTCGAGACTGCATCTTCCAAGGATGAATCGAGCGAGGTCGGGAGAGACTTGGTCGAGCCTTCGGCCATCCCTGCCGCTGATTCGAAGATGGCGAGCATCACGAAAGAGCGCTTACCACCACAGGTTTCCAAAGTAGTGATGTCCTACCGGACCAACGAATGGGCCAAACATCTCAGTGGAGCGGATGCTCCGGAACTTGGCGAGTTGAAGTTGGCCGAGTATCCCGCTGACAACGACACTGGAGCAGAGACCGCTGTACCAGTCAATGTGGAAGAGCTGCAGCAAACTGCCGAGATATCCTTGTCTCGCCCAGTATCACGAACTGCATCCCAAACGTTGGGTCATGGGCAAACCTTGACCAGACAAAACTCATCTACGTCGAAAATGATGCCTGGTGGACCTTCCAGAACTGACACATCAAGCACATATCAACCTCATGACAACGGCCTCGTCAGCAGCGCCTCTCGGCTTTCCATGAACTCAAATGTCGCACCCCGAGGATCCCGTTCATCCACTGGCCTCCTCAACTCTCAACAGATCGCAGAATCCCAAATCGCAGAGAACTTCCCTTCGTCCGCCCCCAAATCCAGCAAGCCCCCAAGCGCCCACGCCGCGTTTGGGGAATCAACCCTTCTCGGAAAACGCGAATCCATGCTCCGAAGCAGACCCTCCTACTCCAGCACCCACTCCAACGCACCCACCCCCCTTGCACCCCAGCCGTTATCCTCACACCCCGGCGGTAGCAGTAACAGCAGCAACAACGACGCCGGCTCCATCAACAGCTCCCCTTACACCCCGCCCGCCATCTACGACGACGACGACAACATGACGCTCTCCACCCGCCGCCGCGAACTCCTCCGCCGCTCCTCCCTCATCCAACAACTCAACTCTCCCAACCCATCAATCTCGCAGCAGAGCCTCGTCTACGATTCCCACCAGCCTCAACGCCAGCTCTCAGCCGTCGCCGCCGACACGGCCGCGCGCGCGCATCAGCTCGCGTTGTGGAGGGCCAGCGTGCAGCAGGATCTCCAGGCCAGCGTCCAGCCGAGGGCGACGCTCGAGCGCTCCCGAAGCACGCTGTGGCGGGAACGGCAGGCGGAGGAGCTGAAGCGGGCCGAGCTGGAGAAGAAGCGGGAGCGGAGGGATAGCATATTCGATGAGAGGATGCGGAGGGGTGATATGCTCGATGCGCACCGCGAGGCGCTGCGGAAGATGCAGGCTAGTGCTAACAAGCATATCTAAGCGAGTGTTTTTTTTTTTTTTCCAAAGAGATGTTGATCTCTTAATATTTGTTTTCTTGATGTTTTTTTTGTGTTTGATTGATTGATACCCGACCCGTGCATTGTGTGGAAATATATGGATTTGATACTTATTCTTTTTGACGACGCGAGGGGAGGGAAGAAGTGTGAGGGAATGGGACGGACTACCGTACTCGGGCCTGACACTGCGATTCATGAGCAGACGACATGGTACATGGTATATACAACAGTAGGTTTTTTTTTTTTTTTTTTTTTTTTTGGGCGTACGTACGGAGTCCGGAGTATTGACTTTTTTTGGATTTTCGGAAAACGGACTTTGGGAAGCGGGGAGAGTAGCTTGGAAGGAGAATGGCACTTCTTGTTATTGACCTCGCTTAGCGTTTTTCGGATAGTTAACCCCCGATTCCCGGATTGCTTTTGAGCTTGTCAAATGTGAGTTCGGGTACTAATTATACTATGATTATGTACCGTACTCATACCACAGCATATAAAAATGTACCACCGCATTGCGATATCCGCAGAGCTTGAAAGGATTATGAAAATTCTCGGTGGTAAGTATGATTATTACCCATTCGGTTCGGACCCATCCTCGGCAAGAAGAAGAAAAAAAAATGTTCCAGAACGAATCCCAGCAATTGATTACACGTGACAAGATTAGAGAGATGGCTCTTAACAGCAATATGAATTAATGCACATCGCCTTTTTCGCGATACGGGTACTTACTGGTGTATTATTGTGCGCACAAGTCATCTCATGCTATCCCATGCCATGTCATCTCTGAATCCCAATCCTACGTCTTATCCTATGCCCGTTTTATTACTGACCCGCCATAGAGAGGGGAACCGAGTAAGGTACTGCCCTGTGTCTTTGCTGCGGACTGTGCGGATCTGGGCTTCACTTAGCAAACCTCTCACCTCTCACCTCTCACCTCTCACCTCTCACTTCGGATTCCTCGTCTCTCGTCTGAGTTGTCTCTCTCATCGCGTCTCTGCCCTTCTCTTCTCCCATACTCCTTCCCCTTCTCTTCCTCTTCTCTGCGAACCCAATTCACTCCTCACATCTACTACAACGGCAGTCTGTTGTCTATCATGATCGCTTGTGGTTTCCTAACCTACTTACCTCTCTGCTCGGCTCGAGTGAGCGTCCTTCGAGCTCTTTGTGGCACCAAGCACCAGCACGATGTCGATAGCTAAATGCACCGCGTCAAAATGCTCGAGCTCCGCGCGTGATCGCGAGGTGTTTAGGTACCTACGCCCGCGAGACCCCAGTATCCTGTGCGTTTTGCTAACCCAAGGCGAAGATACTACCTGCCCCCTACGGTCCCTGATCCGGACGTCTGCTCCCTGGAGCCCGGAGAGGAAACCATTATCCAGACGACCAAGAAAGCTTCCAGCGACCCGACCCTGACGGCCTTCGCCCAGCTGGGATGTCTGCGGATCGACTGCAAACGGGGGATCATTGTCTTATCCACCCGGCGAACGGAGTACATACTGGCCGAGGCAACCCGGGAGCTGAGCTTGCAGCAGGACAACGATGAGAGCGATCGGCTATGGCATGGAGAGGGTGCGATTCTTAATCCCAAGTCGGACGAGGTAGGAGGGGAGCTACGCAGGTTTTTCGAGGCGCCTGACGCGCCTGCTATTATGCTCTGCGCCGACATGACCAAGGATGATCGGTTCAAAGATTCCGCGGTGGTTACCGGACCTCCATATATAAAAGCGATCGCTTGCGTGCCCCTCATTTCCCCGCTGCACAACATGGTCGTGGGTCATTACATTGTGGTAGATGACAAGGTTCACGAGGAACTGGACGAGGGGGAGCAGCAGTTCATGTTGGATATGGCGACCACGGTGATGGATTATCTGGAGTCTGGGCGGATCAAGAGGCAGCAGTACCGAGCTGAGCGCATGATCAAAGCGATCGGGCTGTTTATCGAAGGGAAGGCGACCTTGAGAGAGTGGTGGCTGGAGACGGGACATAAATACCAGCATGCGGCATTGAGGAAACGCTCTTTACAGGATGGCACCCCTCTTGCCCGACAGGCCGATATAGAGTTTGGGGTTCAAGAAACAACGGACTACTTCACGAGGAATGGATTGAATATATTGCCAGATAGCACTTTGAGGACTTCTGCTGCACTCAGGTATCCATCTTCTGTCTCGGTATCTACGACCGACCGAGTGGATAGGGAGCTTGGAGATGGGAGACCTCCAGTTCCGAGAAATGATACAAACGACTCGGATCGCACAACACCTAGTTCAGCACCTACATCCGCACCTCGAGATCCGACGCCAGCACGTCGAGGAGACGGACGACCGCAAATCCCAAGAGAAAACACGGTCAGCTCCTCAGGGGATACTAGCGCCGTACCACCAACCTCAGTATCTCAATCATGCCGCGACCGGAATAGCTCTGTGACTACCTTCGACGAGACCTTGACTGATCACACCCCGGATCTGGAGAGACACACCTCCGTTTCGTTCGACCTCCCAGCTGATCCTGTACCCCCCGAAGTTTCCAAAGACTTGCAAAACGCCCTTCTGTCATCTGACGTAAAGGGCGTCTTCGCCCGCGCCAGCAACCTTATCCGAGAAGCAATTGGGGTCGAAGGCGTGATTTACTATGATGCCAGTGTTGGTTCGTTTGGTGGCCGTTCCAGGAAAGAAGTCGTGGAAGATAAAGCTCCGGGTCTATTTCATGCTGATCCACCTTTTGGGGACCAAGTAGCTACGAGTGAAGACGATCTCGCGCGACAATCCTCTGGTGCGGAAGGCGAGTTCGAGAAACCAGCTGCAGTGGAAGAGAACGGCACAGGGAAGTACTGCAATATACTTGGATTTAGTACTCGTCGTCGCTCTTCTCTGAAGGGTCACGATGTCTATGAAGAGCGCAGGAGAATGCCGGAAGCGGTGTTGAGAAAATTGCTCAAGCGATATCCCCACGGGAAGGTCTTCAATTTCGACGAGGATGGCACGTACTCGTCTAGCGATTCTGATCACTGCCACCCCTCTACCAATGTGGAAGAAGCTCTAGGAAGTCCCCAAACTGCCAGACACGTCCCAGAGGCTTCTCGTCGACATCGTATCTCCAGAGAACAAGAAGCTGCAGAGATTCTGAAGGTCTTGCCTGGTGCACGGAGCGTCTTTTGGTTTCCGCTCTGGGATGCCACTCGTGAGAGATGGTTCGCCGGCTCCTTCATCTGGTCCACGTCTGGTACCCGCACTCTGTGTCCTACGGAGGATATAACTTACCTAGCGGCTTTCGGCAACAGCACGATGGCGGAAATCTCTCGACTTTCGGCTCAGGTGTTGTCGAAGATGAAGACCGACTTCATATCCAGCATTTCCCACGAGCTTCGCTCTCCGCTGCACGGGGTGTTGGCCAGCGTGGAGTTCCTCCAGGAGACACCCATGACGGAGACACAGGCGGAGATGGTCAGTAATATCCATTCTAGTGGGAAGGTCTTACTAGATACCATCAATCACGTTCTTGATTTCTCGAAAGTAAACCGGAAGACGAAGAATAGAAAGATGCCGAAGAGACGTCTGAAGCGGGTGGAGAGACAGGGGAGCGCTGAAGAAGGCAGCGAGGAGAAGGCAGATGTCTGCGTATTGTCCGAAGAGGTCATCGAGAGTATCTATGCAGGGCAAGGTGTAAGCAAGAAGGCGTTGGGCCTGGCTGGTCATCGTCGACATGGTTCGGCGGCAACCACGGAGCCTGCAGTCACTGTGATCGTTGACATCCAATGGCGGCCGAACTGGACATTCGAAGTCGATGCCGGCGCCTGGCGACGAATTCTCATGAATCTCTTTAGCAACGCGATGAAATATACGAAAGCAGGTTTCATCAATATATGCCTCGAAATCGAAGAGGACGTGGCGTCTCACCGCAAGAAATCGCGTGCGAATCTCGTGTTGAAGCTTAAGGATTCCGGCAAGGGCATCTCGCGGGAATTCTTGAACCATCAGCTGTACAAGCCTTTCACACAAGAGGACTCTCTGGCCACTGGTACGGGTCTCGGGCTGAGTATCGTCAAAGCGATCATCCAGGATTTGGGGGGCAAAATCGGCTTTACCAGCGAGCCGGGAACCGGTACTGAGGTCACTGTTCGGATACCTTTGCAAGAGCGTTCACCCAAGCGTGGAAGCTTGAAGGTTCTCAACGAAGTGCGGGCGAGCGTGCAAGGACACAGATTCCGGCTGGAAGGCTTCGACAGATATCCAGATATCGCAGAGACGCCAACTGGTATTCTCTCTCCGGACACTGAGGGGGCGATGCTGCTTAAATCGGCAGTCCAGGATACGCTGGTCGACTGGTACGGCATGGAAGCTGTCACGAGTTCTGGGGCCGACTCTCCTATCGCGGATCTGGTTGTTGTGATGGAAGCGGGTATGGGCGACCAATCTCTGGACCAGGTCTTGAATAGTCACTACGATCACCATCCGAAACACGATGGAAGGGCTGTTGCGATTGTGCTCACGAGTTCGTATCATTCTGAGCCGAGGGCAGATGCTCATCAACATTTCCGGATCTTCTACCTCCAGCAGCCGTGAGTAACCTCCAACCTTCTCAACTAGCGCCTACTGACAAGTCCTAGATATGGGCCCCATAGAATTGGAAAGATCCTGAACCAAGCCTTCTGCGAGACGCCCGACGACCGCCTCGTGGAATCCTCAATCAGCCCGCCCCGCCAAACACTTACGCTACGTAACCATCGCGATCTTTCCCCCTCAAGCCCGCCTCCCACATCAACTACTCTCGACGTTACAGGCAGAAGCCCCTTGAGCCCAATGGAGAACCAAATCCGAGCACAAGAGCACCCGGCCGTCACCCCCGATACCCCGATGACGCCCGGGTTCACAGCCGCTCAGCTGCAAATCTCTGATCGAATGGCTACGAACGGCGAATCACCTGTTAAGAAAGAGGAAGCCGGAGGCTTCAGGGTGCTACTGGTAGAGGACAACGAGATTAACCTCAAGCTCCTGATCGCTACGATGCGGAAACTGAAGCTGGATCATGCGACTGCAGTCAATGGGCTCGAAGCGCTGAACTCGTACAAGGAATGCGCGGGGGCTTTCGATGTGATCTTTATGGGTTGGTCTCTTCTCTCCCCTCCTCCTCTCTTTGCCGTCATAGGTTATCCGTTAGCTGAGCACCAAACGCAGATATCTCCATGCCGATCATGTCGGGCATCGAGTCAACAAGGCAGATCCGCCGCTTCGAGCAGGAGTCCGGCCTGCAGCCGGTCGCTGTCATCGCGCTCACGGGCGCGGCGAACCCCCGTACCCGACAGGAGGCGTTTAGTGTGGGCGTTGATCTGTTTCTGACGAAGCCAGTACCGATGAAGGCGTTGAGGGGCATGCTAGAGGATGTGAAGAGGGAGGGACGGGCGGCGTTTGTTGGGTAAAAAGGGGGGAGGATAACACTCATTATCTTGTTGACCGACTAAGCGAGCGAGCGACGTCACCCAAATAGGGATTGTGATCGGGATGGGGGTTAGGCTAGGCTCCTGGGGAATGCTTGGTTGAGTTTGCTTCTACATGTCTGTATCTATCTATACCCTGGCTGGAGTTCGCGTGCAAGACTGCAGGCATTAGAAGCAACGAGCGGCGTCTTTGGAAATAAAGGCTCTTACCAACAACGAACATGACATGCGTGTGTAGATATATATATGTGTATCTGTGTGTGTGTGTGTGTGTGTGTCCATCATAACGAGAATCGCTAGAACGGGAGGGCATGGCAATTTGAGTAAGTGATTGATTGATCCTTATCTTTTTGTTGCCGAATTTAAAGGAATAAAATACTTAGTTATGTACGATGATTGTCCTCAACAGAGCTGATAGCGATGGGGAGGGATACCTGACATGAAGGATGCAAGGGGTGAGTGATGTGGGGGATCTTACCTGTGACTGAGTAGGTAAGGTATATACTACCTATCTCCTCGACCTAGCCAGCTGTAGGCCTCTCTCTCAACAAATTCGCAATATATACTTATGGAACGGCACCTTTTTTCAGGATAGCGAGAAGCTACGGCCATATCCGATGATGTCTGTCTGTCTCGTCTCACTGATCATGTTTTTCATGAAATATTTGGAGGTCCGATTAACCCCGGGTCCCCTGTGCTTGTCCTATAAGTGGCGATCCAATACATTCCTCCTCCTCTGTCTGGGCCCTCGTGGGCGGGGCGTGCATGAATGTTCTTTTCTTCTTCTTCTGCTTCTCCTTCTTTTTCTTTCCCCCCGTCCGCATTGCATCTGAGAGATGGGTTCTCATTCATATCTTTGAAAGGGACGTGAGAGGCAAAGTGAAGAGGAGCAGCTTGCTTTGCCAGTTTTGCGTGTGTATATACAACCTACATACCTCCTACATACCTGCATATCACCGACATACCCACCTACCTACCTACCTAGCTTATAATTAACGGAGTCCGCCGACGGGTTGGTGAGACTCGAGATTGTTGACACTTGGTCCTCGGGCGGCCCCTTTCCATGCTTACCTGCTATCTCTTGATCGCTCCTCGACCGAAAATTTGGTGGGTTGAAGAGGATTTGTTTGATATTTATTTATCCCGCTCATTGGTATCGCAGGATGTTCGCAGCATGAATTCTTCGGGTTTGGGTTTGGGAGAGTCAGGCAAGCTGCATAATTTTAGCGCCGCGAGAAAGGCTTCAGTTCACACCAACGCCCACGCTCGCACCGACACAGACCCTAATTCAACACCACCCCAACCTCGACCATCCCCGACCACCCGTCCTCGACAGCGACGTCCCTCATCGTCGTCGTACCGCATCCCCCCCCTCCTCAACCATTCTCCCCTTGCCGTCACGGCACCGCTGAAACGGCGTCGCCAGGAGACCCGTATTCTACCCCTGGGATCTCTTCATCCGCCTTGACCACCACTAACCCACGCATCCCACCCCCCAGCTCCCAACCGTTCTATCCATCCCCCTCGCTGGGCGAACTCTCCAGCCCAAATCCCGACGTGAGAGTGACGAGCCCGACGCGCCGGAGCTGGAGCTTGCGCAACTCCCTCGGCGGCGGCGGCGAGACCGCGACTTTCACGTCCCCCTTCCGCAGCAGATCCGGCACGGGAGAAAGCAGCATCTCGCGAGGACGGCCGCGCCAATCCAGCGCTGCCCGGTTGTGGAATCCAAGTAACTCGACGCCGCGGGGACCGCCTTCGCAGAAGAGGCGCGAGAGGACTCGTGAGCCTAGCGCCGAGGATAAGGTCATTGCCGTCGTCCCTTTGAAGCACCCGGATCTCGCCTCTCCGCGAAGGGACTCTGCTATTGGGGGAGAACACCCGCTGCTGACGCTGCCGGAACAGAGACAGCAGAGGCACTCGGGGTCTACGAAAGCGAGTCTGCAGATTGAGAGGAGCTCGGGTGGAAGCCATCGTGTCTCGTTACCGAGGAGTCTGAGTATTGAGTTTGCGAGGAGGAAGAGTAGTGAGGGGTCTGTGAGGCTGGATAAAGGGAAGGGCAAAGCGATCGAGGAAGAGAGAGAGGATACGCTTAGGCAATTGGAGAGGTCTACCACAGGAGATCAAAACCGAGGGCAAACTGCTGCGAGTATTGCATCCCCGCAAGGCCCAGGAATCTCTTTCGACAAGGACAGAAGTAAGACAGATATGTTGGGGGATATTGAACACGGGCCAGATGCCCTCGGGGTATACGAGTCTGGAGGAACCTCAAATATGCCCGACAATGACCCGCGCAGCTCTTTTCAATCTGGAATGGGACCTACGATGTCCGACAGTACATCGATCATAGGATCAGATGGACCCCCTATGAACGCAGGAGAGGAATGGGGCCCTCAACACCCCTGCTTCCCACACGTAAACCCTCACGTCCCGCTCTCATCACCCCTATACCAAAGTACACGTATCATCCGCATCCGCCGCGACTGGATGCTCGAAGGCGACCTTGCACCGACCTTTTCCAATCTCTACCCTGAGATTCTCGACCCAGCGGGCGTCTCCGAGCAGGAATTCCGCCAATTAGTCGAAAGAGTAAATAAGGAATTGATCTCCGCCTTTAGTCCCTGGAGCTTGCGGAATATCGTGGACGGCCTGCTAGGCTTGATAACAGGCTGGGTGTGGGACGATATGGGGTATACCGGGGTCAAGATGAGGCTCAACAAGGTAGAGCAGTATCTGGAGGAGTGGAATCAAGAGATGGAGGGAAGGAGTAAGGAGAGCCTAGGAATTGCACCGAGGGTCGTGCCCTTGAGGCGGACGGGATATATGAATGTATGCTACCCCCTCCCCTGTCCCCTCTGCTACCAACCCACCCCACCCGAAGACAAATACTGACCAGAGCAGCTCGACATCCAAGTCCCAGACCCGGAGATCTCCTACCCGGCTTCTACCGGCGGCGAGCGCACCGCTACCAACATGTCGCAGAACTCGTAGTAGCGACACACTCCACCACGCCCACCACCCTACCCTGTATGCCCGTCGGGTGGTGGTCACATGCACATGCACATAGACATACATAATACTTTCTTTGTATGTATGATATCTGGAGGTTGTAGATAGAGAGTGGGGGACTGGAGATTATGGGAATCGGAATACCCTTGCGTTGCGTTGCGTTGCCTCATGGCGTACTGTTTGTTCTAGTTAGCTTACTTCTTGCTTCGTTTTACGCTGAAATTTGAGCGTTCTTCCTTTTTAGGGGCGATTGAGGAAGGGAGGGCCACTGGAAATAAATGGGTAGCCCGTTCGTTATCGTTTGGCCTGTGACAATGTGAAAAGCCTTTTTGTTTTTTATGCCTTGCCTGCTTGCCTGCTTGGTGTTAGTGTTAGTGTTAGTTGTTGCCCCTTTGTTTTCTTTGAATGCAGAATGCAATGCAATGCAATTCATCTATCTACCTGCCTCTTGCCGCCGAGGACTTGAGTTTGATTTGTAAGTTTGTGTGTGTGTGTGTGTGTGTGTGTGTGTGTGTGTGTGTGTTTCTGGCAGAGAGAGGGGTGCTAAAGGGCTGTCTTGCCATGTACCTACCTATCCACGGTTCGCATGGCACGTGGCCACGCGACTTCCTCAAAGTGGAGCTAGCTCACTTTCTAAAAAGAACCCTCTTTAGAAACTCGATCAAGACTAACAACAACAACAACAACAAAACCACCACCACAACCAAGTCTAGACCTATTTCCCAACAACACCTTGCGAATTACCAACGAACAATATCTCCAAAAGAAAAGTACTACTACGCTTCCATGATGTCGAACTTCGACGACGACTCGACCTCGTACGGAAGGACCCCGACAACACCTCCTTGGAGCAACGTCGCTGAATCTCTTCCCGACGGGTATACTGCTACTGCTGCTGCTGATAGTAGTGGTGGTACCGATCTGCGAGGTAGTCTTCGATGTGATAATAACTCCTCGGTTCCATCGCCGGGCGGTACCTTTATCAGTACGTATGCGTGTGTGTGTTCTACCTACCAACCTCCCTTTCACACGTTTTTTTCTCTCTCGTCGTTAGAAAAAAGGGGCATTTCACGCACCTAGCTGGGTGATGGTGAGAAGAAGAAGCTGACTGACCATATATCGATCGCAGTTCGTGCGGTTGCATCGGGGAAAGTGCTTACGCTTGTGAACGGGGGGGTGGAAGTGGCTTCGCCTGGTACGTCTGCTGTGTTTTCCTTTCTTTGTCTCTCTCTCTCTCTCCCCATCTCCCCATCTTCCCGTCTCGTACTTTTTTCTTCTTTTTTTTGTTTTGTGCAGATATATATTGTTCACCAAGCCAAACCCCAAGACCCCACTCTTTCGCTAACCTGTACTGTGCGCTTGCTTTCTAGGCCCCCGCGGCTCCATCTACTGGGACTGCGAGCAGACCAAGGGCTGGCTCGGCTTCCGCAATGCCGTGTCGGGCAACATCCTCGGCCACGACAAGCACGGTCGGCTCGGATGCCAGATGCCCGCGCACCAGCACTGGGGGAACTTCTGCGTGCGGCCTGCACCTGGCGGGGTCGGCTACCTCCTGCTCATGACGCACTGGGATAGCCTCTGGTGTGTGGGCTTTCAGCAGCACGAGGGCCGGGAGATGCTGGCGAAGCTTGGCGAGGATATGGCGGATGCGGTCGTTTGGGACTTTGTGAGGGTGTGATGGTGTCCCGGGCTGAGGGGATGATGGGCTGGGATGGGATGATTCGGGTGATGGCGCGGAAGGATAATAAGGGTACAGGCACAGGATCGGGGTCAGGCCCAGGTGCTTGGAGAGGCAGTGTGGGCAAGCAAGTGCAATGCAATGCAATGCAGATACTGGTTGCTTTTGATTCGGTGGTTCGCGTTCATTGGAACGGCACCTCCCTTCAGATATCTTCTATCACTGTCGCGCCTTACAAACATGAATCATTCGCGTGTTTTGCAGGCCTCTATCACAAGAAGTATGCTAATCTAAGCTAAAGTCTTGAATCACTATCGTCGACTGGCTGGTTGTTGGCCTTTCCTTTCCTTTCCTTTCCTTCTTGCACGCTTACATTTACATTTCATAGCCTGCGGCAACGCTATCTATTCCTAAATACAACGTATAAACTTTACAAATTATCGGACTGCTACAACTACTACGTACGTTATAAGTCGCTACTTATACTACCTCCCCCTCTGGATCAAAGATGGACCCAGTTTAGCCCCATAAATCGTAGAGCGGTGGGCTGTATCTGAATAGCTCAAAGCCCTGTCAACTCCATTGCACACAGCATATTTGTTCCCATGTCGAAAATCATCCCAAATACAAGCAAGTACGTAATAGGATCGAGTTTACTAAATTTAGGCCTAGCCAACCATACCGAGCGTTGGAATCCCTCTCCCCGGTCTAGAATGAATCCTCAGGAAATGGCCGCGTTCAAAGCGGTTTTATTTTAATCGTGAAGGACTCTTTGGAAGCTCGTTCTCATCAAAACCTCTCTGCATCATACAGATATAGTATATGTACTTGCTGCTGATGATTGCGAGAAGCCGAGAAACTTTTTTCGCTTCTTGGTGGAGCTAAGCTATTTTAAGCCGATGCTAGATCACGTGGAATCGTTTGGAAACGCGTCTTTGAACTATGAAAATGGAGAGTAGCGGGTTGCGTTCAGAGAGGAAATGGTTGCTTCGGTTTTTATCTACACAGACTCTAGGAAAGGTACATTTGTCGAGCTCAGCACTGGGCTCGAGGGCGGTCCATTAGGATCTTCTCCTGTATTTCTCAAGCTTCCCGTTCGGCTAAAGCCCTTGGGTCCAGGATCTCCCTTGATCTTCCAATCCTCCCACTTGATGGTTTCGTCCGAAAACGCCATCAGCTCATCTATGGTTTCGAAGCATTGGGCCCATAGATCCAGATTGTCGTTCTCCACCACCTTCTTTGGAATAAGCATATGCAGATGCCAAGCCATCCCTTTCACCCAGGAGACGCGCAGCGCTTCATCGGCCTTCTTGATCGATAACTCCGACCTGATATACTCCACGATAGATTGTTCGCGCGCGCCCCAGAGGTACTCCTCCACCCAGCCATTCCAGGTCTTCACTTCGTAGGATTTCGGGATGTAGGCTTTGGGGATCTGTTTCATCTTCTTCCCTTTCGCCATGACGGCACAGAACCAACTGTCTTCTCCACCGAACCAGCTATCAGGTTCGCTGACTATCCCGATCGTCAGCTCCGCGCGGGGGCACGTACGTGAGAGGCCACGATTCTCTGGGTGGTGTGGCATCGACTCACCTATGAAAAAGCCAGGTCCGAGCTGCGTGAGGCTGTCGGTTTCCCTCACGTGTACCTTGTTGTCTGCATTGATGCGCTGGGCCTCCTCCTACGTTTTCGCGTAATTGGTATAAGCTTATCCTCGCCTGGGACGGGGGTGGTGTATACAGTAGATCAAAGGGAAAACTTACTGAGGGGACTGTTGCGTAGCCGATGACTGTGTGTTTATCTTGCCAGAAAAATCCTTGAGCTTCACTGAAGAGAACGCTCAAGGCGAGCAAGGTCGCGGAGATGGATTTCGATCGTAGCATCATGATTGTTTTGTGATCCGAGCTGACGAAAGGGAAGAGGATGATGGGATTTGATGATCTGACAGCAACGCGTAGGATAAGGAAATATATACCTCTTTTAAATGGTAAATTTTACATTTTTACGTCGGCTATAAATAAACCGTGCAGCTACCTAGTAATACCAGTCAGTATTGGGCGCGTAAAGTCGAATTTACGTTTAGACAACCATTTATAGTATATTGCAATCTTCCCTTAGCAATCTAAAAAGAACGATTTAATTACGTGTAATTGTGAATTGGCCGGATTAGGTCTCCTTGACCTTGTTAGCTGACCACTTTCTAAACCTTCTGATGGCCTGGACAATTTTTTCAATCGAACATTCACGTAGCACATTGCTCTTCTGCAAAAATAGCTAACATTTTACTAGATGTTCATATAAGTATAAGTATAAACTTGGGAAATTAGTCGATGACTGGGTGCGGGGGACCGGGGAGTAAAATGCTTATCGTCGGCTCGCTTAGGCGGGGGTCTCCATTTTCATCCTCTCCGTCTTCAGCGCCCCCGATTCGGGACGAGGGTTCTCTCTTCCTCGCCTCACGGAACCTCGACCCAACGTGGACCAAACCGCGACCGGTTTTTCGAGGTTTTCATCCTGCCAATAGTGCGAAGACTACTCTTTCAGAAAACTGGTTTGGGCTATCTGGCTTCGTGAAGGCCTTCATTCCCCCGCGCCGCCGGACCAAACGAGCCCTTATACTACTACTGGGGAAAACGATCGCTTCCACTTACTTCCTAAAGCTGTTGAAGTTAGCTTTGGATTGCTGCTTCGATGAACCGCCGAGATCCCGATAAGTGTGGCCGTCTGGGTAAGAAGCAGTGGTTCTGGAGCCCTGGTTGTGGGTGGTTTACGGAGGAGGCAGTATGATGCGAAAGTCGAATCGAGGGCCACAACTACCACGGTACAGGCCTACGTATTACCCCTCAAGATTAGGATAACCAGGGGGTTTAAAGTGGAAACTAAACTTGTACGTAGTACATCTTCTAGCCTAAATCCGGTTTTGATTGCGTGAACATTTATACCGGTAGTTGTATAAGTAGTAGCGGTCGAAGCTACGGCTCTTGTAAAGCCAATAAAGTTATACTTTAGCCATACAAAAAAAGGAGAGTGGAAGCTGCCACTTGAACACAAATAATACGTACACTTTGTTATTTACGTAGTATTTTCGCATTGAAGAGGATCACCTGTGGTCCACCCTTGATCAGGGGCCGAATGCACTCACTGCAACGCTTTCTACTTGTAGCCATCAGAATCCTTGCGTAGGATTTAGCCTCTAAAAGTCCCTATACGATCTACTTCTATGAAATCCTTTCTCGGCGTTGTGCAATAAGGCTGCTCTCGCTTAAGCCTTTGAAAAGCGACGGGTCTGAGTAGGATGTATGAAAGTAGACCGGCTCCGGCCCATCAACAAAATGAAGAGACTAGAATCAATTGATGTATTGTCTTGTCTTGAACAAAGAGCCACCTAAAGCCAGATCTGGGCAGGGTGGATTTAAGCTTTGGGCAGGGCCACTGCCAAGACGCAGTGCTAAGTGCAACGTCACATCTGAAATACGAGCTGCCTCCACCATCAGAGCTGTTCACAACAATGGAAACTTCCAGAGCCCGCGGGTCAAGTGGTTGGTATTCGTGGCTCAGTCTTTCGATCCATGGAACCCCCAAAACCTAAAGTATGCCGGTCGAGAGAAGCACGCTGACGTCAAGAAATGTGTCATTTCACTCTTGGCTTCACGTGTGTATGTATATATATATACCGAATCGCTGCTCCTAAAGTCGTAGCACCACACCTGATCATCAAATCATCAAGTCCATCAAATCATCAAATCCACAAGCCACTCGCTCAGTAACAAGCCAACTGCCGTTCAACACCACCTCCCTCTATTCATCACGCGACTCAATACGAGGCAACAGCACCAGCTCTGTACTCGAACCACCCCCAAACATCAACGCTACCCACGCATCAAACCATGTTCTCCGGGTCGCGACGTTCAGCCAGTCCCCGCCCCTCGGCGCAACAAAACACCCCCCTCCTGCGCGCCCTCTTCGTCGCGGAGGAAGAAAGCAAGGTTGGGCCCTACACGCGCCGGCCCAGTTTCAGTCCTACTAGAGCTCCTCGGCCCGCGCCCGAAGCTCAATCCCAAACTCGGTCACCGCCCCAGGATAGGGGTGTGCGTGTCGGGGAGGGGAAGGGGGAAGCATTGCATAGCGGGACACGCTAGAGTTGCTCATGCTCGGCCGGCATCGAGACATGTCGGAGGAAGAGATGGGGGAAGGGAAGAGGAGTAAGGGAAAGGAAGGAAAGAGGAGTAAGGGAAGAGCTGTAATGGGGAGGATTTTAATGGGAAGAGTCGGAAGGCACTAGGGGTCTACGACTACTGACTGTGGCTCGAGGGCTTTGGGTATGGTTCTGGCACGCCCAGTGGTCGATCACGATTGACGAGTTTTCTTTGGGAGGGAACCGTGGGAATCTACGGTGCGATACAAAAGACATGCATGGGCACGGAGATAGTTCTTAGGATATATTAGGACCAGAATGGAGAGCTTACAAGCAAAAGAATAAATTCTCAGTGTGATAGATATCGTCGACATCCAGAAAGAGTATCATCACACCTCCCTCGCAAATACAATGCTGCAGAAGCAAGCCCAATACACTAACTAGAGCCTTGCACGCAACGCAACAATCGTTGGGGAGCCCGCGGGCACCACGGCAGAACCCCGGCGGCAGATCCGACTATGAAGTATATAACTCCCATCGACCACTTCCATGGCAAGAATTAGAACTCCGAAGTAAGGCACTCTCCGGGTTTAAGAGCATACACCCCATCCCGAAAGAGGAGATCTAACAGATAAACAATGGTTCCGCCCTTGTACTAAGCAGTCAAACCTACACTCCGCTCGTGTGTAGGGTTGGCTGTGAAGGTTTTGCTATTTTTTCCCCCCTGGAACTTTTTTCCGCGGGCATCTTTTTGCTCTTTCTTTTTTTGGGTCGTGTGTTGATTGATGGGCCCGCAATTTAAGCGAGCTGGAGACGGCCGTCTCTCCCGACCGCGAGACAGATTTTTTTTTCTTTTTTTTTTTCAGCCTTACTCTGTGCCCTGACGAGGACGAGGCGTCTGGTTTGTTTTTTCATGTGCTTGCTTCAGCGGCGGCGTCGTGATGTGCAATAGATTCCCATCCACCCGTTTAAATTCCTTGGGCTGCCTTGACATCCCCA